TTGGGTTTACTTTAGAAATCAATTTAATAATTTGTTGTACTCGGATACATAGTATTAATTAAATATAAACGTTCATACCGAATAAAAATAAAATTCAGATTCTCGTAATTTTTTACCGAAAACAATTAGACTTTCAATGTTTTTTTCATTATCCAAAAAATACGAAATGACAATCCATCAAAAATTAAATTATGACAATGAAAAGTATGAAATATATTTTCGTGGCTTAAAAAATATTCTGCTATCGCAAATAACTCGATTACGTGATTACACCCGATTTTAAATTGTATTATTTTTGAGCAGAATAATGAATTAAACTGAGAACTTTACAGTACAACGTTTGCATTTCATTATAAATTCTTTGCCCTTTCAAAACCCTGAATACATAGGATACTAGCTCAGTTTGCCCCCATAACCCCGACTACCCGCAAAAGCCCCTGGGTATGGGTTTTCAATAGCAAAACCCTGAGGGTTTATTTATCCTGACTATGCACTTATTTTCGCAATTAAACCGACTTCGTCCTTGTCCCCGTGGAAATTGGGCAACCGTTCAATTGTTTACAGGAATCCGGTTCGATAGTTAGTTTCAACTTACATATTCATGAATACAATAATGTAGTAATATAATTCTTAAATTGTGTCCAACACATCGTGACAATAACTTAATGAGAAATGTATTTATTTTAGTGACAAGCGGTTTCGTGTAGTATGTCGAAACTAAGTGATGGAGAGGAAGCAATATTCGAAAGGAATGATGAAAATGTCTATTGCGTTTTAAGACAATATTAGCTTTCAGAGGTTGAAATAATGGAAAATCTGGAAACGAAAAAGTTGCGCTTTTAAAATGGTCTGCGTATATTTAGTTTCCCAAGTACTTTAACAAGTACATAATGCAAATAGATCAGCAGACTAGCTTCGGAAAAACGGGTTCATAGTGTGACCCTTGTTGCTATTAAACTCAAGATTCTCATCCACACGGTGGTAATTTATTTCTAGAACTCCTTGATTCTAAGCACACGTTTTCATAATTTGCTATCATAAACATACTAAACTTAGAGCCACTTGACTAACCAAACCATACACAGTTTTCTCTTGTCGGTTGGAAACTTACTGAAATCCGGCAATAATTGGCCGAACAATGGCCCAACCAAATCACCTCCGTTGGAAGGTACTTGTATTGTGCTGCACTACAAATTGCACCTTTGTCGAACCCAGGACTGCACTACCCACCATAAATTTGGCATCTGTCCTCTCGCCCCACCCCACTTGTCGTCATCGCCTCGTCTTCAACAATATTTCCACCCCAAACTTGCCAACTACCCGTCATGTTCCAGTCACACTGAACAAACGGAATTTTGGAAAACCCCACGACGAGCCTTTGGAACTCAATATCTTCCAAAATCGAGGCTGGCTTTGCGAAATTGAAATTTTATTTGTCACCCTTGATTCGCCAAATTACACCAAATCCCACCAAGATTCGTCGGGAGATTGGATTACCACTCAAAGAACAGCCTGTTTCATATCACCCTGGTTCAAATTTTATCTCGATTTTTACTACTTTATCTTCATTCCAAGTAGCTACAAAGTATTGGGATCCACGCCCCTGTACGCACCACCTTTCTGGCAATTAATACCTGTGAAATTTGCAGTGTTATTATTCCTCCAGGAAGATATGGTGATATCCTGTTACCAAAAAACATTTATCCCAATTCTACACAATTTTGCCTGCACGAAGACCACAAATCCAAGTCAAAATATAATCTTATTCACTTCCTTAAACTACCCGACAAAATTTGAGAAGAATTGGATCTCTCATTCTGAACCAGATCCAGTGGCAGAAATCCTACTTGCAACGGCATTAAACGCATTGAATGCCACCCACCACTTTCAGAACGAGTGCAACTCAGTTATCACGGAAGCCTGTTTTTACCCGGAGCACACCTACGAAAGCAAATGGTTGATTCATGCGAATGACTACGATCAACAAATCGTCGTCACGACCTATTCCGGATTCTCATTTTTCTCTTGCTCCCGTTTTTCAAAGGGGATCTCCTTTTCCTTATATTTCGCTCCGTACGATTCCACCGTGTGGATTGTCACTCTTATAATGCTGCTCATATCAAGTGGCCTCCTTTCGTTAGGATTTTACCTTACTAACCACGAATTCTACCCGCTGCAACTATTCTTATACTTTTCCGGTCTTTTGATCGACGAGGTGGACAAGCTGCCGAAGAAATTGAGTAATTTCCTTCCACTCCGCCTCCTAAGTGTTCCCTGGCTCTTGGTCGGCATGCTTCTCAGCACGTGCTACTTGAGTAGTTTCATAATCAATTTGAACTCACCGCTTCCAGGAGAAAGGGGCGACACGTATGAACAAATTTCTTGTCAGGAGAATCACAAAACACTCCTTGGCGGCGGTGAGATCGCTGGCAGACGAAACGCCATGCTTCACACGGACCGCGACAACAACGCGACTTTTAGAATTCTCCCCATAGTGGAGAATTTAGGAGGATTCTGCTACACGATTTTGTCTCACTTCGTCCCCAATAATTGGCCGGGGAAGGATGGCCTTCGAAATTTCCAATTTACCGATTACTTTTACAATGATGTTTTCCTTTTACCGAATTCTTTTCGTTATCCCGCCCATTTACAGAGGCTACTCTATTCCATGCTGAATCCTAGGATCCGCTGGTTTCCACGGAAATGGGGGCTTTTCGATGAAAACGTAAACCCCAAGGGGATAAATAGGGCGATCGAGGAGGAAATTTTGCACTGTGACAGCTCCGCTTATTTCGGACCATCCAGTGAGGTTGACCCCTATTATGAATACCTCCAGCGAAATTGGCCCACTAAAAAATGGTATCGCGGCGAGAAAACAATTTTTGAAAGGCCGATCGGATTTATTCTCAAGATTTGGCGGGAATCGCGGATTCTTCAGTATCTTAAGATTTTTTTGACGTCAGGGATTTACAACCAGGTGTCTAAGGAGGTCAGCTTGAACGCGACAATTCTGCTCGAATGGGAGATGAAGGCTTTAAATGGGGAGAAATTTCGGTATGAAGTGTTTCGAGTGGTCAGGCTAGACGGGAGTATTCAGACCATTTTCATCCTACTCCTGACCTGTCTAGCGGCCTGTTTCTGCCTCTTCGTAGTCGAGTGCGTGAAGTACAAGGGGACAAATATCGTGTTAACACTGGACATTTGGTAGGGTGGCCAGGGGTTGGAGGTATTTTTTCGGCGTCAAATTAGAATTTAGTGCACTGAAATTCCGCAATAATTAGTAATTTTATTATAAAGATTTTTTGAACTTGTGACCTAACTTTTGAAGTGGTGTGGGGAATTTGCAAAATCTGGGAATATATATTTCGCCCATTGACCTGAGGTTTCCAAAACAGTCGCAAGTTTGGAAATCGGTCATCAACAATTGCTAAAGTTATCCGAGTTTGAATTCTTAATGTTGTTAAGGGTAACGAGGTCGGTCAATAAGCCTCTCAGCAAAAAATGTGCTTAATTAAAATGCCTCCACCACATGAATCAATGCAATACAATTTTCCTAATATATGTATTTGTCTTCAAACATAGACATCAACACGTCTACCGTTTGTATTTTACAATTACGAACTTTCTTCATGAGAACTGCTTAGAAAAAAATTTAAAAAAAGTAATAATTGCTAAAAAAATAGTCTTTAGCTAAAAACTCTACTCCGTAGTGAAACAACAATGCGATGACGCCACTGGTCTCGCTCCGATTTTGATAAAAATTCGATAATTATGTAGCCTGTGGTAAATAATTGAACACATGTTTCGGGATTTTTCATAACGCTCAGTTTAAACAAAGTTATAAGTGGCCAAAAATCGCATTTTTCTCGTGAAGTTTTTCTTTTTTTGTTTTTGAGGGAGATAAATGCTATTTTTCGGCCACTTTTACCAGCATAACTTTGTTTAAACTGAAACACGTGTTCAATTATTTACATAAGGCAACATAATTATCGAAGTTTCATCAAAATCGGAGCGTGACAGCTAGCGTCGTCGTATTGTCAGAGACAGGTTTTTGACTTTAAAATAAATAAAAAAAGCTTCACATTTTGGAGCAAAATCATTGTGCGTGTTTTTAGGACTACCTATTCGGATGTGGTAAAGGAGGCATTTTATTATTCAAAGGTTAAAGAAATCGATTTTTGTTCTGCATGCTGCTCCGAGTTTTGAACAAAAGTTATTGCATAGAATTATACAAGCCTGGCTTAGCCCTGTATGTAAGTTTCCACAAAATATACCTAAGTAATCACTACCAATTAGTGTTTCCCTCCAAAAAGGGAGAAATTACCGTAAGCCGGACACGTAAGGCATGAAACTTGTTCTTTAGTTCCAAAATATTCGATATTGTTCTTCCTGCCTCCCACGCTTTTCCAGGTGACCAGTGCGTCAGTCGAGAAAACAAGATACCTACGTAATCTAACACCCGACGAAATTTACGGAATAAAATGAAAATTTTTAACGTGCTCCGATTTATATTACCAATTTCCGTATTATTATTTCCCGGTTTTGGTTTAACATTCATCCCGAACATCCACCTCCTCCTAATAAGCTATGCGGTAAAACCGCTGAAAACTCTATTTTTTCAATAATATATTATGGGCAAATTAGAAAGAGAGAAAAAGTACAAAACAAGATGCAGTACCCATTATTTGAAACTAATATTTCGGGGAGAAAATAGGAGCAAATGAGAGGTCACTTTGCCCGACGACTGGTACAGATGGTGAATGCGAATTTGGCAAATTCCGGCCCTCTGATATGCTCCTATTTTCTCCCCGAAATATTAGTTTCAAATAATGGGTACTGCATCTTGTTTTGTACTTTTTCTCTCTTTCTAATTTGCCCATAATATATTATTGAAAAAATAGAGTTTTCAGCGGTTTTACCGCATAGCTTATTTAATTCTTTTCATCTTATCTGATTTATGCCAGCCTTGTGTATGCCAAAAATTAAATTAAAGTTAAATATTTCAAATTTCAAATGATACCGATTTATTATCCATTAGTAATGACATTTTAAAAATACATCTACAAACTACGAAGTCGAGCCATCTCCACAAGTAACTTTTCAGACGGTTGAGCCATTAATTTGTTATCGTCCTGCGCCACAATCGCTACTCCCTCCAGTGTGCGAACCCGGCTGAGAGCAACATATGCCTGCCCGGGAGCAAAGACCTCGGCTCCCAAATACACCACTGCACGGTCAACGGTGATCCCTTGAACCTTGTGCACGGTCACGGCCCAGCAAAGAACAATAGGAAGCATCCGCCGTTGGATTTCCTGCTTTTGTTTCCCGGTGTACACGACATCGACAGGTTTCAGCTCGAATAAGCCGTCCTTTGTTCCGGCAATACGCCAATCGTCAAATTTCACCATGACGCCCGATGGCAGGTCACCTTGGTGATGCTGCGCTTTTGTAGTTTTTTCGGCATTTTTCACACGATTCAGATATGTTAAGCTCGGATTTTATTTCCGTATAAATTTGTAATCACATGTGAAATTCAACTCGTAGACTGGGCGGACTGAATTTCGCGCGCCAGTGGGTACCGTGAGACTTGGCTTTATTTACAGTTAAAAATATAAGAAAAGTATAAATCTCTAACACCACATAATATATAATCAATTAGTATAAAGTAACTTAGAAGTAAAGATAAAGGAAATACAATTAATATAGTACATATGTATGTATGTATGTATGTCTTTATTAATATAGTACATATAATGGTCATGTTCACTTTTGACTTTCATGGTTTAGAAATGGTCCAGAATTCATGTATATCTCACATATAAAATTGTGAAGCATAAATTTTTGCACAACACTCATGATCCTATCCATATTAGATTATACCATCTAAGGTAGTACACGTAACCTTATGAAAAATTAAAATTTCAAACCGTTTAAAAAATCGCGCCATAACTCAGAAACCATGACCGAATTCAAAAAAGTATGTCCTCTGAGGGTCATAAGTTGGACCCTCTCCTACATAATTTTCTTAAGGTCCAAGTCTCTAAAACGTAACGCTTTGGCTGTAGGTCCGCGAACAAATTGACACTTTTAATCACGAAAAATCACACAAATTCGAACTTTGCTCCAAACTGAAGCCTTAATCAAAAAAAAGTTTCAAACTAACGTTGTAGCTGAAGTACTTCTGGACATATTTGTAATTGCATGTATGTCTCTATCATGCACCCAACCCATTTGGGGTAGCTTTTAAGATTTTTGGCGCGAAAAAACGTATTAACGTTGATATCTTTGGTATGGTTCGAGATACTGTAATTCTGAGAAATGTCATTTTAAAGCTCGGTGAGATGTATCCAACGCCGCTTAGTTGAAACCTGTAGGTCAAAACGTTTCGCCATACGAGCGCCCGACATTCTCCATAAGAATTAGGAACAACATACTATATGTTTCTCATATAGCGCGAACTGCCTCAGTTGCACTTCATGGGGAAAAAATAGAAAAATTACTTTCAAAATAGTTTTTGATTCTACTAGTACCAAACCATCTTTGTCTTCCGCATTGTTTAGAAATTTTCTGCACAAGATATTTCTTAAATTTGAAATTAATCTTATCCGGATTTAAATAGGATGCTAATTTCAGCACAATTTCAGCCATGCCACCTTCCCCGTCAGCATCTTCCACAATTTTGCTCACCGTCATTCTTATCGCGGTGAAGGATGTCAATTGATACCCCTCCGAGTCCAGCGGTGATAACGGTTGTTGTAGCATTTCCATTTTACGAATTCGAAATTCCGCCATATAATTCTGAATTGAATACTTTTCATTTTTAATCCTCCTTGCATGCCTAATGTAGGCGACTGCTTGTTTAATCGCTAAGGGAAAGTTGTCCATCAGCGTAGCCAAGTTTCCCACCATGTCTGCCTTTTCGTCCGGAAGTAGTCCCCTTATCAACCCGGCGGCATCTCCCCCATCCAACGGGGTTAACCGGATCTCGTCCTGAATACAAGACAGCACCGCAACATTTCGCGATGTGACGAGAACAAACCATTTTTCCGGGTAGAGGATCAGTTCGCGAAGTATTGAGGCAACAATTTCATTAATCTCGTCAACATTATCAATCACTAGGAGAATTTTTTTACTGGGCCTTGCTGGCAGACTTGATAATGCGGACAGCAAGATTTCCGCAGGCGTTCTTAATTCATCCGTTCCCTCATTACGAATTGGGGTTGATGTTAACTGTCCCAATTTATGGATCGAGGTGGTAATCGTGGAAGAGTTCTCGCCTAAAAGGTAGATACAGGAGCACCCTTCTCGTTCGATAACGGTCCAGGCAAATTTCCTTAACAGGGACGTTTTTCCGATTCCGGGCAATCCCGTCACTGCGACGGTTACTCTGGATTTCATGAACAATTGTAGCAATGCGAGTTGTTTGTGTCGTCCAGTGAAAGTGGGGGATGATTTGCCAAGTTGAAATATGAATGGTTTGACGGGGTCGCTTGGGGCGGTAGTAATTGGAATACAATTGGATTCAAGCACTTCTGTACATATTTAGAAACGTTTTAAAATTTATGTATAAATTCTTAATCTTTGCAAGGTTATTACAGGGGTTCTGGCTCGATCCTCCGGGTCTAAAAAGTCCTGTTTTCTTGGCAGGGAGGAGCGTGCACACGCTCGGATACACTTTTGCACGGATTTATGTGAAATTTTAAACTTTGCCCTAGAGATGCGAAATTTGGCATGCACATGCATCAACATATGCTGCATCGTAATATAACATCAATTTCCGTTCCGTTCGCTATAAATTTTTCAGGAAAAATCAAAAACCTAATGTCATCCCTATTATTTCACATGTTAAACTCTGTTTTCTAAAAAATTATACCTCAGCTCTGGGAAATATTTTGCAAATTCCGTTCTCGTAGATGTCTTCCGTAATTCGTAATTCGTAATTCGTAATTCGTAACTCGTAATTCGTAAGAAAGTGTACCTAACAAGCAACTAAATAATATTGTTTACACATGTTTATGTTATACACATGTGTATGCAAACTCATCATAACAGCTTATTGGACGAATTATGAGCAAATGTTGCGATCGATGATGAAATCTGTATGGCTCTCAAAGTTCCCCAAATTTTCAACCCCTCCCTCTGAGTGGGTGTGGCTGGTTTGCATATAACACTCAATAAATATGATATTGGGAATTTTGTAGTTCAAAAATACGTGAAAAAAAAACGATAAAAAAAGACACCAGTTTTTGGACCACACCCCCCTGCCGTGGTAAAAGGAGGAGCTTTTTCGAGCTTTTAAAAACTCCCCGTGCTCTTGTGGAAGACATCTACGAGAACGGAATTTGTAAAATATTTCCGAGAGCCGAGGTAATTTTTTTTTAATCACACTTTAATTTGTTTTAGCATGTGAAATGATAGGGATAACATTTGGTTTTTGATTTTTCCTGAAAAATTTATAGCGAACGGAACGGGAATTTATGTTATATTACGATGCAGCATATGTTGGTGCATGTGCATGCCAAATTTCGCATCTCTAGGACAAAGTTTAAAATTTCACATAAATCCGTGCAAAAGTGTATCCGAGCGTGCACGCTCCTCCCTGCCAAGAAAACAGGACTTTTTAGACCCCGGACGTAAGCCACCCGCCATAAGCCACCCACCAAAAGCCACTCAACAAAAGCCACTCCCCATAAGCCACACTAGGAAATAAGCCACACTAGGAAATAAGCCACCCCAGGAAAAAGCCACTCACCAAAAGCCACCTTCCACGAGCCACCGTAGGAAATAAGCCACTGTAGGAAATAAGCCTCTTCTAGAAAAAGCTACTCTTATCATCATCATCTTTATTGGACTACGCTTAGTCCTTGTGTTTACCACACAAGCTGGAAATTTAATATATAAATTCTTAGGGACTCGATAGAGTAACCTACGCACTGAAATATGTTGTATGCAGCTAAAATATGGTATGACCTGAGACCTCGGAGCACAGAAATTGACGTAGATTTTCAAAAATTTTCAACCTCAGCTAAAATTTGGGATGTGAATGTACAGTTTGAGAAATCTGGTACAAGTCACAGATATTGATTTCTCGGTATTGAAATTACTACCTCTTGGTATTAAAATTATCTCCGTTCGTAAAACTTTGATACCAATTCAAGGAGAATGACCTCAGCAGAATTCAACATCAATTTAAAATTTTAAAGGCACCGAAAGGGATCGTAACGCTTATAACCCATTCCCCTAACCGTTCTCACATTCCTAAAATTTGTAATATTAAATAGCTGATTTGATATTTATCTAACAATCTCAATACAGTCTCTCGATTGTTTTTTTTAATCCGCGTTTTTCTGTGACTGTTTGTACCAGTAATATATTATGAAATTATATTACGGGTGTGACTTTCAGTGAATAATGCGATCTTAAAAGGCCCCGCAAAGCTGTTTGAACTAGGTTTTTCAATGAAGATGATAAGAGTAGCTTTTTCTAGAAGTGGCTTATTTCCTACGGTGGCTCGTGGAAGGTGGCTTTTGGTGAGTGGCTTATGGTGGGTGGCTTATGGTGGGTGGCTGGCCTCCGTATACCGGAGGATCGAGCCAGAACCCCTGTAAAGGGAATTTATTAATTGTTCCTACTACTAACCTGCGGACATGATGAAATCGTTCTGCTTCAGGATTTGAATCAGAGTAGGTAATCGGCCCCAATCTCCCCTCGCTGAGACCCATCGTTTCAAAATTGTACTAAATAATGTGAACGTTGTGATGGTGGAATTTGAGTAAGAGTTTTTCAATTGGTTAAAATCAGGATCTAAAAAATTCAGACAGGTATAAAATTCCTCCCAATTCGTGACAAGTGTTTCATCCTGAATTAAAATACGGGAAACTTTTCCAATATCCATTGCCATGTCTTGATTTTTTTTAAAGTTGGGCGATGAGTTGGAATGATTATATAACGCAGGAATAATTCATTCATTGACGGCATGGATCAGGCTTCCCACATTAATTATCTTATCTACTTATCTACATGCAACAGGAATTATCTTATCTTTTAATTGGAAGCGGAATATTGTAGGACCGTATGCAAATGTGTTGCGACGTACTATGTAGTTAATATGTCCCAATATATTACAGCACAATACCCTTTGATTAAAAGGTTAGTTGTTCTTTTCCAAATCAATTAAATTAATTACTGAAAAGTGTTGTTCTGTGACATGCACATTGATAATTTCAGATTTCATCATCGTGCAAGAATGCAGATACTATTTTTAAGTACTTCATTTTATGTAACTAGGATACGATTAAAGAAATTTGTTCACCACCGCACACTTACTATTACTTGAAGAAATCATCTTCAAGTGTCAAAAAGAATGTTACATGAACCCACGAACAATTTCTAACATCAATACCGTATCTCATTTAAATGTTTCCTATCAGGAACTAGTCGGGATTAACGTTGTATAAACAAGGGAACATACCGAGGTGTCCAACGAGTTAAGGGTCGACACCTATACCAAAATGACCACAATACACGACTTGTTAAACAAACTGAAGGAATTTCCGTGTAAAATTCACTTTTCGTCAAGTTGTGACGACATTTGTGACGAGCGCATGACCATCCGGTTGCCAGCGGGAGAGGTCGGCCGCTGAACGATCAGGTCGAACATAAAGAAGCGTCGTCGTCTTCAGAGATTTCAAATTCTTTCAAATTTTGAAAACCACTTGAAATTTTGAAAACCACTTGAAATTTTGAAAACCACTTGAAATTTTGAAAACCACTTGAAATTTTGAAAACCACTTGAAATTTTGAAAAAAATTGAAATTTCTTCAAAATTTCAAAAATTTCTCAAAAATTTCTTCAAAATTTCCTCAAAATTTCAAAATTTTCTCAAAATTTCAAAATTTTCTCAAAATTTCAAAATTTTCTCAAAATTTCAAAATTTTCTCAAAATTTCAAAATTTTCTCAAAATTTTTTCGAAATTTCAAAATGTTCTCAAAATTTTTTCGAAATTTCAAAATGTTCTCAAAATTTGAAAGAATTTGAAATCTCTGAAGACGACGACGCTTCTTTATGTTCGACCTGATCGTTCAGCGGCCGACCTCTCCCGCTGGCAACCGGATGGTCATGCGCTCGTCACAAATGTCGTCACAACTTGACGAAAAGTGAATTTTACACGGAAATTCCTTCAGTTTGTTTAACAAGTCGTGTATTGTGGTCATTTTGGTATAGGTGTCGACCCTTAACTCGTTGGACACCTCGTTATGTTCCCTTGTAAGAAGAATGAAAACCTCTTGTCAAATTCGTAATCACTTCTCACTTCTGAAAAGAATATATAAATATTTATTTTGCATCTCTCCCATGTGCGACGAGTTTGGCCGCATGTAGGGTTTATCGAAAGGACAACACCAGCGGTACATATCAACATTTAAATAGGTACATATTTGGTAATATATAACGATACGACAACCTCTCCGTACAATTTAAAGGGCTTCTTAATTTGTCATCTTTCTAACATCACTCTTCCCGGAACAAACTGGTTCTAATCCCGATTAACCATCAGACTATAAACACACATATTGAAAATTGGGAGGAATTTGTTGTATCTCACAAAACTTCTTGCGTGACCATCTAAATTACTTCTAAGAAAATAATCAGCGCATTTAAATAGTTTGTTATTATTCAGAGGAAGCACCTAATTAAGCACCACCGTGTCGGTTGTTACCCAACAAATACACTGGGCTAATTTTATACATCGCGGAGTTGACGAATTCTGATACATATACTATCCTTGTCCTACTGACAAGAAATACTTTCAGTATTTGTCGTTAGGTGCGGTTTAAAACTTGGCAGCCATACTCGTTCCAAACCTCCTATCCTGTTCAATTTTAAAGTATTAACCTTAACTTTGTTGGAAGGATGGCCTACGGAAAATTTATACTAGCCACTGCAACAATGAGGGTGATCGAAGTATTGATTGTGCTGAGTACAGGAACACGGAAAGTACTTTCCACGACAATGTCAATTCCCAACTATTTTGGTGAGCATCACGTCCAATTCATATCAGCGTTGCCTAGGGGGACTAAGACTGAACATCCTCCTCCATATTTTGAACACATTCTAACCAACAATCCAAACACACCTATCCTCTTGGGTCAAATCTACGTCAACCTCACACACGTAATACTTGGCACGGCGGCAAATCCGCTCAAGAATTTCAGGACAAGGTCGGGTTGGGCATCCGTCTCATTTCTGCCCTCTGTACCCGGGGATACCCAAGAAAAGCATTATTCCATACAGAGGAAAATAATGTCCAATTTCAATCCAAGTTTTATTTTCCAACATACCGATGACCCCTGGAATGCATCAATTTACCAAGATTATTCCTACCACGTGGGTATCTCAAAACTCATCCTCTTCAATGCCAACTACCCTGACGACATTTTCATTCCCTGCATACTAGGTCTCTACTCTGTCCCTATGAAATTGTGGATCACCCCTCTCCCAAAAATGGAATCAGTTTGGTGGGCAAAAAACACAAATTTACTCCACAAGAAGGTCATATACACCAGAAATATCGACCTAAAACAAGTTAACTGTCAGGTTTACCACGTGCGACAAATGTCGTCCAAAGACTGCAAAATTGTGCACCTTTCGCAAAATTTAAACTTTTCCATTGTTGGGATGCCCCATGCCTTTGAAGTATCAATTCTGGCTTCTGACACGTATTCTTCTGGTAGATCTAGTTTTATGATGCCATACTCGGTCAAGTTCAAATCTGTCCAGTTTTCCATTATAACGCAATACCCGTCCGGGTTGGAAGGCATGGCTGCATTTTTGTACCCGTTCAGCCTCCCTGTCTGGTTAGCCCTATTGTTTGGTTGTGTGACCATATGTTTCGTAGTACAAGTTGCAAAGGAAGAGACAACTTTGATCCAGGTTACCTTTGATATCATAAACATAGTCGCGCTCTTACTAGGGCAAGGAAACAGTTCGAAAATATGTTACAAAAGGCGGACATTTGCTGCACCTATAGTCACAGGTTGGCTACTCTGTGGGTGTTACGTTCTTATGGAAAATTTATACACGGGTGAGATATTTTCATATCTGAGCGCCATCAAACCTCCCCTAGTTCCCGAAACGTTGTCCCAACTGGTGGACTCAGACATTCCAATAATTACGATTAGCTCCTACTCGAAACGTGGTACTTCGGGATCTACCTTGATGACGAATACAATCCCGTGGTACATTCTGTTTTACCAGGATACAAATAAATCCACTACTTGTTAAATTGAATAGCAGGCTTACTTTTGTCAGTGCGCTGAGTTCCAGGGCACACAATGTAGAATTTTTTACTAGCATCTTAGCCTCAAAACCTCTCGTATATTTTAACACGTCCATCGATCCTCGTCAAACGTACGCCATTATAGATGATCATGATAACTTTCAACGTCTATCGACCCTCTTAAAGATAAATGGCAGTCAGTCAGTATTAAATGGAAGGGATGGCACCCCATTTGTTTCTGTCTCCTACGACCAACGCTACAAAAACTGGTTGTCCCCACTCCTTGCTAGAAAGTTGCGACAACTCGAGGTCTCGGGCATTGCGGGGAGATGGGATGACCTCCAAACGGTAACTGATGTGGAAGGAGTTCTACATCTAATTAAGGATCCTGCCTATGGTAGATATGGGACGGGAGTCCCTCCAAGTAGGGAGTCAGCAAAGGAAACCCCTATTCAACTTAAGGCGGTGAAATCTATTTTCATCTTGTCTTCATTTCTTTTCCTGCTGGCCCTCACTAGTTTTGGGGTAGAAGGTAGAACTTGGATTGCCTTTTTTATTTATAGAAGGAGCCAAGCAGTTAAAAAATATTGGGCTGGGTTGGTTAGAAAAGCAGAACATTAACTCTTCATACACCATCAAATTATTTCTGAAAGGTAAATTAGCATATTATAATTTTTCAAGGTTTCTAATAATATTCAAATATTTGGCGGAATAATTAATGAACAGTGTGGCATGGATATTTGTTGAAGTAACATATCTCCATTATGTCACAATCGAGGAGTCCTTGAGGATATGATCATTGTGAAATCGCCAACAAGAGATAAAATTATGCTCAAAATTTCGTCAGTTTCTAAATTTTTGAGTCGAGATGCCGGTGAAATTAATTTAAATAAAAAATGTAAAAGTCTAAAATGATTTCAATAAATGGGGAGTTCAATTTTCAAACGTATTTCACCGTTGTTTCGAATTAACTCTAAAAATTTTGCATCTTATCGAAATAAGTTAAATCAATTTATTTTTTACCAAGGTAATTTAAATACTTAGATTAATCCAATTTTGTGACGACCCTCTTCCTGTTCTGACAACAGGGGACGTCAACCAGGTTGATTTACAACATTACCTCCGCCTAGAAATACTTTTCAAAATGAATTCTGCACCGGTTGCAAAAAATTATTGCAAAACGTCCCCATCTTCACCTAATTCATTTAATTCATTCATTTATGCATTCATTTATTATTCATTCATTCCTTCATTCCTTTAATTTGAGCTTAACTCACTCTTGTCTCGCACCCTTTGTCTCTGCTCTTTCATAGGGAGCACAATCTCTTAAATTGGCAGTCAAGAAGATGAGCGTCATGACGGCTATCCCCCCGAGGAGAATGTAGCTCCCAAAATGGACAAACTTTAATCACAAGGGGGGCGTGAGGCACGAGATGACGAGCCAGAATCCGCCACAGATTCCAATAACGTGTAAAGAATCCCAGGTAAAGAATAAAGTCGGAGTGGTGCGTCGACGCGATGACGGGATCGAGACAGGAGGCCGTGTACTGAAGGCGAGGTGCAGGATGACGAGAGCGTGTGGGTGAGGAGGAAAGACGTAAATCTTTAAAATGGCCGGGCTAGGTTGTTGGATGGAGCCAGAATCGAATTGTAAGTAAGCTGGACGAGGCAGAGCTGCAGAATAAAAAACAAAATCTCAAATTATCTACTTAGAAGTTTTGTGAAATTAGCAAACTTACGATTCTCGTCATTGTTTTGAAGTTTGTAAACCAATTTTTCATGGTTTGTCAGATTTATGAACCTATTTATGTGCATATTTCACTAAAATGATGTACAACTTACGGCTGAAAATTCTGCAAATAATTCCGAGGGTGAGCACGCCGTGCACACTTTTGCTCTCCTAAGGGGAATTTGTCGATACAAATTTTATCTTTGTGGTGGCGAAAGCATTGACATGCTCGTCGTGGATGGGCTAGCACGATGTTGGGGGCAAGGGATTGTATTGTTTTCCGGAAGTGTGGTCACGCTTAAATATATAATGTAATTGCAAAAATCGACGTGGATACTAGTAAATCCAAAATATTCGTAACGAGAGAGAAATACCAAATTATGCTGCAATATATATGGACTTTCCGGCAAAGTTAAGTGTCAAATTTTTATCCATTTTTGCAAAAAGTTTTCGACAATTTTACTTAGCTCCGGTTATTTTACCTTTATTGTATTTTGCCGCGGTTTTAGTTTTTGCAAGTTTCCAAGCCCTTCTTATCGGCTTCGATCTCACGAAGATAGGTTTTTGAAATTTTTGATTTTCGGGGTGCAGCGCTAACGGATATGTTAGCGTTTTCTCTAAAAAGGTTTTCACGTTTCCGGTCAGTGTTTTGGTCTTCTGGCGGACGGGTTGACCACGCGAAATTTTGTATTTTGACTTTTGACGATCCTTATTTATGTTTCGTATAATCTACGATTAATTTTTGTCCGGGCATGCCTTAAAGAATGAAGTGGTCACGAGCCCTTTTCCGATTCGAGAAAAATACTTTTTTAGTGGAAAACTAATTTTGTAACATCCTCCAAATTTTGTACTGTCATTTTTTAACGAAAACAGGTAATCAAATTCTGTTTTCAGTTTTAGAAAGTTTATCAAATTTTCCACTTTTTATGCTTTCCTACATATCAAAAATTAAGTTTTAATTGGTTAAACCAATCTAAGGAACCTTAACACTTAATTCACCGGACAATCCAAACATACAGGCTGATTGACGTATTGTAATTATGGACTGCCTTGTCGCAACTATACTTGTAGAGTTAAAACTGATAACAAAGATAATACGATTAGTTTAGGCTTGGCTGGGTTATAAGTATAAATATGATTCATCACAGCTTTATGTTAAGTAGGCAATAAATACGAGAGAGTATTTTCAAGTAATTTGAATTACCTGAGACCGACATTGTAAGTTGACTTTTTTACAAAGCAATTTATTATCCCAATATTTCGACAATTGCTTAACTATAGTTTTCCTCTAAGGAGATTATAGAGAAGCAAGGAATAGTTTTTGTGGATATATCAGTATAAGGTTTTGACGGTCATAAAATTAGGTTGCTTAGTTAGAGTAAATGTAATAAGGCTGATGTCCAAATCGGGTTGATTATCACTCCATCCTCTTCATTCATGGCTGCTTTTCAGTTTTCAGCATTGATGCATGTTTGTATAGACCTTAATTGAAAGTTCTTCCGAAATATGTGTTGGGTCTCAATTTTCGTTGCTGCGTTGAAATTAATTTGATGTGATAAGTTTTTCCTGATGTCTTGTGCTACTACCGAACAGGCTGACAATTTGGTGACATGTCTTTTGTGCTCGTTGAGCCTTGTTTTTAGGTCTCGTCCAGTTTGTTCAACATACACAGCGTTGCAATTTTGAAATGGAATTTTTTACATGTAAAATTTGATTGGCGGATTTTTGTCAGTCAACCATTTCAGTCAATCATCTCCCTGGTTATAAATGTTTTGATTGAAAAGGATTTATTTTGACATCGGTAAATATGGTGGAGATCAGGAGAATTCAATATTATCAAGGATTGCACAATATATGTATTAATAAATATGAAATCAACCCATTTGGTGAATACCAAGTCGTAAATATTAAGCTATCACGCGACCGATAAGACTTGCTACGCAGCGTACATTATTTTGAAATAACCTTTGTCAATAACTATGTTGACGTAGGTCTGGTATTTATATTATTATTCGTAATCTTTATCGAGTGAAACTTGAGCTGTCAAGTGTAATCAATCCAATTATTAATGTACGGAATAGCAGGGTTGGGCAAGATACTTTGTCAACATACAAGATAAAAGATGGAAGATACAAGATAGTATCTTTGTCTTGTATCTCCTTCGCCAGCTCAGAAACTATCTTCTATCTGGTATCTTTTAGACAATCAAAAGTATCTTAATCTTGCATCTTGTATCTTACTGCCAAAGTATCTTTCCCACCCTTGGTAAATACCAAGTCAAAAACATTATGATATCACGCGACCGATAAGACTTACTACGCAGCGTACATCATTTTGAAATAACATAACCCAACAATATCTATATTGTCGTAGGTACGGAATTTATTTTATTATTCGTAATCTTGATCGAGTGAAACTTGAGCAGTCAAGTGTAATCAATCTAATTCCTAATATACGTACAAAATAAACCAACAAAGCAAAACTATATTCAATTAGTAGATAATAGACAATTGTATGTGTGGTATGCTATGATTATAAAATTATCGCATCCCTTCTGAGAATTTTTCGTGCGCACTAACCTTCCAGAACAGGCGAATAACCTTCCAGAACAGAAAATATTTTGCTCAATTATCTTGCCAGTAATCTCTTAACAAACAAACGTAATCAGAAAGTAGGTATAAATTCAGATTGAAGACGGGTTGTGTTTCAGAGTAAAAATTGTTGGGGTCTTGTTCCTAAACAAGAAGTATCTTCTGGAAAATTCAATTCGAAATCCTGGTCAAAAAAGAGATGAAAACAGTCATTTCTGTGGTCATATTTGGCTTATTAGCCATCCTTCTTATTAGCGGGGCAAACGGAAATCCGGGTAAGTGTGGTCTTGTCTATTAATCTGGAAAATAGTTTTTTTTGTAAAAGCTGGTTTAATAAATAAACGTTAATTTGATATGCCTCCTCAAAAGAATTAAATGCGTTTTTGGTTCGTAGTTCAAGCAGAAGGAATTAGAGCGGACATTGCTGAACTGCGATGTGTCGGATTTCTTGTTAACAAACTTGGAATTTGTAGGGCCACCTACCAAGAATGCCTTCCTAACCTTCCAATGATCTCGTTCTCATGTCCCCGAGAATTTTTAGTTTGTTGCCCAAATCCGGATTGACAAGAACAAGGGTGAAGTTGTACGAAACAGGTTGAACGACGTAGTTTATTCATAAATATAGGTACTAGCCGATTACGTTATGTAGAGGATGTTATTTGCAAATAAATCAAATTTGGTTCATTAAAATATCTTCTATATTATAATTCCGAAAAGTCTGTCCCGTCAAAATTTATGTGACCTTCCTGCATTCTGAATGACTGTTCCCCGTCTAGCCCAACCAATCAGAAAAGGGATACTAATTTTGATTGTCATTATGATTGTGATTATGATTATGCATAAGTATGGTTTTGATAATGATTATGATTATGAATAAGAAAATATTGATTATACAAAAATTCCTTAGCAAAAGGAAAAAATTCTTTAGCACCATAAAAAAATTTCTTTAGCAAGGTCAAAGAAAATTCCTCAGTAACATAAGGAAATTTCATGAGCAACATAATGAAATTCCCTAACAACGTCAACAAAATTCCTTGGCAAAGTTAAAAAGTTTCATGTGGTAATGCATGTGGCTCAAAAATTATAGGCTAGTATTTAAAACAATTAAAATTAAACGACATTGCCCTAAAAACTAAGTTCGGTATCTGGTAGCTTTACATATGTGCTTTGCCTATATGACCATTCTCGACGGCTAACAATGCCATAACGCATTCGAGCATATTTGATAGGAAAAGGTTACAAATGAAATACTTGAACATAGATTTTTCCATAATCCTGTGGAAGGCGTGACATCGTGCATAATTAGAAATATGCTATGCCAAGGAGACACCTATCAATGTTTCGACGGAGGTGTATTGGATTCCGCATCCGCCGAATCGTTTTGGAATGCTGTGAACTGGGTTGTTATATCAAAAGAAAACAATTATCAATAAATAGCTCATCTTCCAGTTGTACCAAACGTTTTTTCGACTTCGTTAGAAGCCGTGTAATTGGCATTTGCTAATAATGTCTAGTTTTAATGTTAATTATGACCAGTCATCAAGTACAAATTATTCAGCGACTAATACATACGAAATTGTAAGATCTATTTCATTGCTAAATTTAATAAATGCTATTAGCTTTGACTAAATACTTCACATCAATTTTAATTTATACCTATGTTTACAGTTTATGAAATAATTACAACATAATTCATATACGTTTCGAAATGCTTCTCCAAACTAGCTCAAAACCTTCAGAAATAGCAGCCAGTATCGTCCCGCCCACCCAGAGGAAAAAGATCGTTTGAAACCTTCCATCCAAGTCCACTCTTCCCGAAGCAGGCTCCTCTATCACGGTTTCTACCTCACTACCATTAATTTCTTTATTTGCATGGTTGAAATTTGCATAGCCGTGTAACAAATAATAAATCCCAGATTCAAGCAACCTTTTAAAGTTCTTAACAACCCTGTGGTGCGATACGGTTTCAAACCTCCAACCGATTGAGGCCACGTGAAATTTTTCCCGGCTTACGTGGAATTTGGGTGTGGAGGGATGCCTCCTCTCAAAGTTATACTTTAACGCTTCCGCATCCTCCTTTGACCCGACATAGACTGATTTTTGGCATAGTAGTAATTCTGCGTGAATTGCGGGACCTATTTGAGCGATTGAAATTTCCGGTGTGGTGATGTCTAGTAGGGGAATGAACTTTAGTGGGAATGAGCGATGTCTTGGGTCTATAACGTCCTTGATTATTTTGTCCTTGCGGCTTTTAAATCCCTTTTCATTGGCTGAACCGACAAGAATTTGCATATCCCTGAAAAATGAGTAACTTAGGGAGGAAAGGTAGTCAAATTGTGGGCTTTGTATTGGAGCTGATAAAACGGAATAGCAGGACGATTTCATTATCAAATTTTTTCGTAATTCAGTTCCATTTTCATGAAATGGTAACATAGCAATTAACTCGACGACGTGCTGAAACTTTAGATTTATTCCGGCGTCCGTGAACTTTGGCATTTGACAAGAAATGTCCTAGAAATTATTATTTGCGTAAACTGAAGTTGATATATTTATTAAAAGTAACTATGAATAACTTAAGCAGCTTACGTCGTACGAATCTGGATAGACGAGCACGTCTGGAACATTCAGGCTCATGATGACAAAGCTTTTATACCCATTTATAATGACCGATATGGCTACAACCCAAATCCCGACAAGCAATCGGAACCCGGAAAAGTTTGCGGGCCTCCCACTAAACGGTTTCAACTGTTCGAGCAATGTTCCAAGTGCCCAGAAACATAAGGATTGCAACCCAGGGTTTCTTCTTTCCGAGCTCAAAGAAACCATGGACACGAAGCTTCTTAAGGCGCCTACGAGTATCAGCATGGCGCCTACCAGACATATCCACGTGGACAGATCAAGGGGTTTAATGTACAGGTCTAAACTTTGCCGGTTTTTCGAGTGGCATGTGAGAAAGTGCAGATCCTTTTCTGCGACGATTACATAGGTTGAAGACCAGTGGAAAATACTCCAATCGCCTGAAGTCTCACCTTCATTAATGATAGGAAGGCTGCATTTTTCTTCGTTTGTATTCCAACAGTTCGAAATTATGGAAATGTTGGAAGCAGGAGCTAATATCTCAAGGAGTATGAATAACGCAGCGTTTGATATCTTACTCACGTCTCTTGAAACTAGAATGTTTCCTTGTAAATCGGAAAAATCGCGGGCTAGTCGAAACTGATTCTGCTGTAGGTGACTCAACCCAAAATAGCGAACAAACGCTTGGGGCGGTTGGGAATGGCAAACCAATAGTTTCTGAATAGGGTATGACACCTGTGGTGCTGACACACAGAGGATGTCTCGTTCAGACGTGTCGGATAAGAAGAGCAACCCGAAATTTGGGATGACCGCCAACAATAGGACATTGCTATTGACGTGAGCGAAATGCCAGGATCGATAAGATTTTTGTACCTCTTGAAAATAGTTTTGCGGTTCAGTCGTGGCGAATATTGCGTAAAGATAACCAACTTGGTTAGTGTCCCACTTTTCTAATTCCCGCTGTCCTCGTTTAACTTGTTCGTGTACCTGAAGAATGTGGAGTCTCATGAGAAGCCCTAATGAGACAGTGTCCCATGGTGGGTTTGAGTAGAATATATAAAAATAACAGAATTTTCTATGCCGAGTGTAATAACGTGAATAGAAATGAGATACGGTCCGGTTCTGTTGGGTTTGGTATTCTGTGAGCAATGTAAGACTTGGTGGGAGGATCGAAAGAAGTACGGGACCAGTTGGGTAATTTAACTCAAGCGAGACCGAGTCTAAGTTGTGGTGCATAATATGCATCGTGCAGGGGATGAAGGACGAAATTATTTGGTTAACAGAAGGTTGAGAAAATGTGCCATAGTTTGCAGGAACCAAAGATGATACAGTGCTTCCGGCACAAAATGATATGGGAATTAGTCCAGCGGTTAGGATGGATAATATAAAAGTAGCCATTTTCGGTTTAAATATTTGAAAATTTTTTAGAAAGGACTATAGACTAGGATTTGAGTCGTATCACTCTATTTGTTCTTAACCATGGGACTTAAATATAGCAAATTTTTGTAGCTATTTTGCGTCAAAACAAAGTTGCTTACATAGTTATTTAGAGATATTAATCTTGGAAAACCAATTTTTTCCATTAGGTATAATGACTAGGAACGTGCATAGGAATTAGAAAAGTAAGAATCGACTGCAGCTACGTCTTCAAGGAATTAGTTAGACCATGGCACCTGCCAGAGTGGTGGTTTGGTAAAAAATTATTCAAAATATGACGTACTGAATGCGCGGTCCTACAAGGCGCTAATATATAAATATTTAATTTCTAAACCTAAACGATTTCGTCAAGTATACAAATTATAAGTTATTAGTTCCTAATAAGTATACAAATGTTTGAGATGGTGGGCTTGATATTGTCGGATGAAAGGGTAGAAGTGGCTATTAATTCATGTAGATGGGAGATTGTGATATTTGATAATTTTGTACTTTGAAAAAACTATTTTCCTTCAGTTTCTTAAAACTTGTTGAGATTGTTACTTGGTGAGTTCATAATATAATGACAAATGTTTAGTATATGTTGTATAAAGTAAAACTAGGTCATTGATTATCTACGTAATACTTAGCTACAACAATAACTAATAATGCACTGTGTTATCAGTCATTTGCCTTATTACGTACTTCTTTGGCAGGGATCGAATTATGTAAAATTGGTGAGGGTCAAAGGAGGGGCAGGTGTTATGAGGAAAATCCTGGATAATTGATACATAATTGTGATTAATTTGACACGTTTGTTGTTATGCTAATAAGAAAAATTTGGTTGGGTTGGGTTGGGTTTGGTTGGCAAACGTGCCGATTGAACATAAATGTTCATACAAAGCTATAACCTGCCTGCCGAAGAGTTGTTGCCGAAAAGTAATGTTATTAACTCTATATTAATGTATAGAGCAGAGTTAATACATAAAGGGTGTTAATAAAGTCCGATCCCATGAATTTTTTGGAGCGCGGTTGTTACAAATTCAGCTGGAACTTTTGAACCAGTGAAGTTATTTATTTCAAATTTTTACCATGGGAGGAACAACTAAACGTGTAAGTCATGAGCATCTTAGAGTTAAGATACAAACATTGCATCAGCAGGGGTTTAAACCTGCAGAAATTGTGCAAAAATTGGGCTGCAGCCGCAGAACTGTTTGGAAATGGAAGAACAAAAATTTTGTCCACGACAAAAAGCGACCCGGGCGACCCAGAAAGGTGTCACCTACCACAAAGAGAATGATTAAAAACAGACTTTACAAGAAAACCGGTAGTTCATTACGTAATTGTGCAAGGGAGTTAAATGACTCAAAACGCTATAAAGAGAAGAAGAAGCAAATTAACTATGTGACCGTGCAAAAATTTGTGAAATCTACGAGGTGGGGTCACACAGCTTACAAACTAACCAAAAAACCTCTCATGTCACAAAAAAATATCGATGACCGTCTGAAATTTGGAGAACTCCTTCAGAAAAGTGGCCATTTGAGTGAAAAAAGACTTGGTGAAGAATTGCGCAGTCACATCCTTTGGACTGACGAATCTATTATTGAGCTATATCCAAAATTGAACCAACAAAATGTTCGTTACAGGACAGAAAACAAATCGGATGTACCATCAAGAGTAGTCCCAAAATTCGGGCTTAAAGTTATGGTAGCGGGTGGATTTTGTGCACGTGGCGTGACTCCTCTACATATCATACCAAAAGGCCAAACAGTCAATGCAAAGTATTATATGGAAAAAATATTACCTATCTATTTCGATAGCATGGGGAACAAGGAAATATTTCCGAATGAAAGAAAAATAGTTTTCATGCAGGATGGTGCTACAGCCCATACAGCAAAAGCGAGTTTGA